CCCCCCCGCCGCCGGGACAGGGTTCCAAGTCTGTGGAAGTTCAAAGTTGTTTGCTGAAGTGTCCTGACCCTGGGTGGTCACCAAATTTTTATTTTTATTTTTCACAAGTTCTCGGGTTCCTTTTTGCACAATCTGGATTCTGTCCTAAAGGGCTTCTGATTTTTGTTTTGTTTTGTTTTTGAGACAGGGCCTCACTCTGTAGCCCAGGCTGGTCTTGAACTCACAGAGATTCTTCTTCTGCCTCTGCCTCCTAAGTGCTGGGGTTGAAAGCCTCAGCTGCCCAGGTGGCTTCTGATTTTCATAAGGAGACTCCTGGGGTTCTGACATCACATCTGCAACGTCAGGTCATCCCCAAAGAGAGAACCTAATGCTCCAACAGGGGTGTGCTGAGCTCCCTCCCCCCCCCCCCGTCCCAACCCCTCCCCTCCAGAACCCACCCTATGGATTAGCTCGGGGGAGCCACTGACCTAGGCTCAGTCAGTCAAGGCATTGATTAACATGGGGGTCAGATTTTACTGTGAGGGTCCCTGAACCACAACAGGGAACAGCCTGGGGAAGACAAGGCTGCGCCTGGATCGAGCCACACCTGAAGGCAAAATCCACAGGCTTTCCTTTTCATTTCCTCATGGCCACACTCTGAAGGGTGTCAGACCCCCACAGCCACGGGAGTGAGGACGGGGGGGTTCTCTCCTACTAGCAAACAACCTTTGCTCCGTATGGGAGGAGGAAGTGTGAGGAGTCGGGTTACCTCCCCCCACTGGCAAACAACCTCTGCGAGTGGGAGGAGGAAGTATGGGAGGGTGAAAAGATGGGGGGATGTTTGCCCGTGGGCCTCCTGCTGAAGCGATTGCGACAGACATCACTTGGAAGGACACTTACTGGGCCAGGGCGCTGGGCGGTCCAGCCTCTCACCCAGGCCACGTGCTGTGACCTTCAGGGTGGGCACTGGCCAGGGTCCCAGGCGGGAGGGAGAGGAAGGGTCCCGGTGGGCCTGGCAGGTTTACATAATCCGTCCCAGAAGGGCCGACACACTCAAATCTGAAAGCGCAGATCCCCAGGCCCTAGTTGGGTCTCTGCCACGAGAAAGGGAGGGGGCGGGAGGCACCTGCCCCATAAAAAGAGCTCCAGGACTCGCCTGGGTCAGTGTCTGGACTCATCGGCGTCAAAATGCGCGGCTGTGTGTGCCCCGTGGCTCTGGTGCTCCTGGGGGCGGCTGTATGTGGTGAGTGGGCCGGGAGGGGCAGCTGGATACCGCAGCCGGCGCCGGGGGTCTCCAAACTCGGAATCTGCGATCTGAGGCTCCCGGACTCTGAGCTTTTACCAACAGCAAGACTCCGGATTTGAAACCTGTAGACTATAGAATTCGCACCGGGGCCAGCAAGAAGGGCTACCTGGTGAAGGGGCTTGTGGCCAAGCCTGAAGGCCCGAGTCTGATCCCCTGGACCCGTGTGGTGAAGGAAGAGAAGTTTTTCGCTGCAGGATGTCTTCCGGCTGCTGCGGCAGGTTCACCGTGGTCTTGAGCGTGCACCACCCACCAGGCTTCTGAGATTGCAGCCCCTCAGAAGCGCATTTTACAGTGATGGGGTTCTGGGTCTCGAGCAAACGGGGGGGGGGCGGGCCGGGGCAGGGAGGTGTCTGGGGCCTCTCTGGGTGCAGCCCACCCTGATCCTTACAGTGCACCCACCCTCCTCAGCTGCGCAGCCCCGAGGCCGGATCCTGGGTGGCCAGGAGGCCACGCCTCATTCTTACCCCTACATGGCTTCGGTGCAAGTGAACGGCACACACGTGTGCGGTGGCGCCCTGGTGGATGAGCAGTGGGTGCTGAGCGCCGCGCACTGCATGGACGGAGTGTGAGTGGCGGGGCGGCGGGGTGGGGAGCGGAGGGAGTGGGGCCCCGGGGGTGGGCGGGACGTGGATGTGAGGTGGGCCCTCGCCCTGTCCCCAGGACCGCGGATGACGCTGTGCAAGTGCTCCTGGGTGCCCACTCCCTGTCGAAGCCCGAACCCTCCAAGCAGCTGCACGACGTGCAAAGGGCAGTGCGTCACCCGGGCAGTGGGCCCGACCGCATTGCGAACGACATCGCCCTCTTGAAGGTAAGGAGGCTGGGTCCTTCCTACCCGCTGGGTTCCACTCAGGGTCTAGCCTCGCCACTTCCTTCGGCACCGCCACCCCAGTGTCCCAGCGCTGCCCCCTTCTGTGACTTTACCCTCCTCTCACTGCTAGCTGACCCAGAATGCCTCGTTGGGCCCCTATGTGCAACCCCTGCCCTTGCAAGACGAAGTCCGAGAGCTGGCCCCCGGAACGCTCTGCGACGTGGCCGGCTGGGGTGTGGTCAGCCACGCGGGGCGCAGGCCCGACGTCCTGCAGAGGCTGACAGTGCCCATCATGGACCGGAACACCTGCAATCTGCGGGTGCATCACGACGGGGCAGTCACCCAGGACATGATCTGTACAGAGAGCCACCGCAGGGACAGCTGCAGGGTGAGTGACGCAGCCGGGTCAAGTGGCGTGGGGGGGGGGCGGGCCCGCGGTCTGCAGAGGCCAGCTAGGGGCGTGGCTTGCAGGAAGAGTGGGCACGTCATTTGTGGCCCCGCCCCACAGGGCGACTCCGGAGGTCCTCTGGTGTGCGGGAACGTGGTCGAGGGCATTGTCGCGTGGGGCTCGCGGGTCTGCGGAAACCGCAGGAAGCCGGGCGTCTATACCAGCGTGGCGTCTTACATAGCCTGGATCAGAAATGTCATCAATGAAGACTTGATGGGCTGAGGGGATTCCCGGAGACACGTGACTCACAATAAATGCACGCATCTGAGCCCTGTGCGTCTTTATTGAGCGCCTGCTGCACACACACCCGGGAGACTGAGGGCAGGTAGTTCCGCACTCGGCCACACGGGGGCGCACGTACTCTTTCGGGGAACCGTGGGGTGGGGCCCACTCCTACCCCACAGAGGTCCTGCTGCACCCAGGACCATCCTCTGGGCTCAGACAGGATTGCCAAGACGCTCCGAAGCTGACATAAATACTAAAAGGGGAAACTGAGGCACAGAGAGGCCATGAACAAAGGCTGGTTCACTGAGGAGGGAGTTGGTGATGTCTCCAGCGCCACACGGGTTGGAGAGCTGTGGAGTCAACACCCCAGGTCCCCTCCTGGCGACAACGGGCAGAACCTAGACCCAAACCCTGTGCCTGCCTTTCTAGCCGGAGGGCAGGGGCACTGAGGGTCTGAGAAGGGACACTCCTACATCAACGCCATCTGTGCCCCAGTCCCAGGGTGCATCGCATGTAAACATCTGAACAAACTCTGGAGACACCATCCAGTGGCTCCTCACACCTCCCCCAGGTGGCCTGCATTCACTAACACACATGGTGGGCACTCTGCAGAGAGTGGGTGGGAGCAGCCCTGCAGGCCCAGGAAGGGGAAGGGAGCCTGTGCAGGGGGTGGCCCCGTCACCCCAGGGGCCATGCTCCGGCCACAGGAAGTCAAGATGGCTTGAGCAAGGCCAGGATGCCCCACACCGCACTGGTGGCTTCTGCTGGCGGAGGCAGTACCTAAGGCCAGCAGAGGGCATCACGGGAAGTCACAAAACCCTGAAGGGCACACGCAAGTCCCCCAGGCTCCTCGGATGTGCAGAATGTTCCAGAAGGGAACTGGGAACAGGCACACGCGCCTGCCATCCCAGCACTCAGGAAGTAGACAGGAGAATCACGAGTTCAAAGTCATCCCCAGCTACACACCAAAACGTGGGGGAGTAGAGGGGGCTCCGCGTCGGGGGACCCCGCCCGGCCCCGGTACCTTCCCTGGCTACGGCCCCCCACAGGCTGCGTCAGAGCACGGTCTGTCCTCTGCAGCGAGCCCTCCCCAGGCTGGGTCATGTGTGGCCACTGCCCTGTCCTCTGCTCCACAGGGTTCCGGGGAGAAAATAACAAAAGCCAATTACTGTGATCCTGGGCCTGGCTGCCTGTGACTGCAGGGGGCAGAGGAGGAAGCTTGAAGGCAGGACCCCTGGGGACCACAGCAAAGGCTGCTAGAAACCGGGGTGTGGGAGGCAGGGGGAGGGCCGAGGCCGCACGCAACCTCAGCAGAGCCTGACCTGGCGGGCAGCAGTGGGGGGGCCATGGGGACAGCACGGGCCTGGAGGCAGGGTTAGAGCTTCACTGGGCCCGCCCTCCACGCCCACAGTCCCCAAAGGGACACTGAGGGAGACAACCCCAGCCTGGACAGGGGCATATGGACTGCGGCCCTTGAAGGATGGACGCACAGCCCAGCTCCTTCAAGATGGCCTGCGTGTGGCCATGGGACTTCAGGCCCTGGAGGTGGCACATGCCTTGTGTCCCGAGGGACAGACCCGGGGTGGCTGGCTGAGGACACAAGGTTCCATCACAGAAGGCCCCCTGCGTCTGCTCAGAGCAAGGCTGTCGGGCGCTGTCGTCTTGGGGACCGGCAAGGGGCGCCGTGTCTCAGGGACGGGCAAGGGGCACCCTCCGCCACAGCCCCCCACAGAGGCAGTTCTTGATCCACCGCTGCTCCCACTGCTTCACGGCCGTGGTCTTGTTGGGAGACTTGAGCATGGTGACACAGCCACACCTGGGGAGCAGCGACACTCACTGACCCTCCCACGACCCCACCTGCCTCTGCCCCGCACGCGCCGGCCTCCAGAAATACTGCTGCCTGCAGTGGTGCCAGCGGCAAACCCTGGGCACCCCAAACCACACCCTGGGCTCCGGAAGCAGAGGCCACCCTGGGCCTGGCCGGCAGCGCTCACCTGGTGCAGGCTTTGCACTCCTCAGTCGGGTAGGCACCCAGGTGCAGCCTCCGCAGGTGGTCGATCTTGGGCTGGCCAGGGGCCCTGGGGGGAGAGGGAGTGAGGGGATGTGGGGGGCTGTGTCTACCAGCAAAGCGTGGCTTCTGGTGTGTGACCCCAGGGCTCAACCATAAAAAACAACAGCCGATGGCCTTTTCCTGGTGAGATAGGACCAGAGTTTCTAGAACCTTCCAAACATGGCTGAATATGGGCCAAGGGGACGGCGTACACACAGGAGGGGGCGGAGGCCTCACCGTGAGACCAGGGCATTGCTCACTGCGGGGGCGAGGCCTGGCCTGGCTTGGCCTGGCCACAAATCCTACACCCAAAGCTGTGCACTCAGAGCCGGGGGCAGGAGGATCAGAGTTCAAGGCCATCCTCCTCCCACACAGGGAGTCTGGGGCAAGCCTGGGCTACATGAGACAAAACCCAAACACCTCTATGCACACAGCCGCGGCTGGAATGCCACCCAGTTCCCCCACGGCAGAGACCTGGTGACACAGAACTTGGTCCACAGACACAGGGGCTGCAGACGGTGCGGGGACCCCCCCCCCAGAACCTGTGGTGTGGAGATGTCAGGGAGGGAGGGACGGGCGACGCGCACACCTGGCGAGGCCGTCCAGCTGCAGGGTGGAGGCACTGCTTGGCAGAGTGGGCGCCCTGCCAAAGCGCAGGCGCAGGGGCTGCTTGGGCTGCAGGCGGCTGACCAGGCCGTCGCTGGCAGGAAGCCAGTCCAGGTTGGGGACCAGCAGCTGGCTGGGCAGCAGGCAGCACTCATCCACCAAGCCCTCGTCAGGTTCACTGGCTGGGCCCTCGTCACGGCCTGGGGAGGGGAAGGAGGTCACTGCACCCACAGCCTTCCTCACCCACACGGCACCCACAGGGCACCCGCTGAGCCCCCCTGGGGCTCTGCCCTCTGACATCTCAACTGGCGAGTGAGGCCCACGCCGCGTGCTGGGGAAATGGTGAGAAGCCTCAACTCTGGCCATGTGCTGGGCCTACAACTGTATTTTGTTGGGAAGCTGTAAGCAGAGGGCACAGTGTCTCACAGCAGATCCACAGCTTGGTGAGCAGCCGGAAGAGCAGGGACATGCTGTCCTGGGTGTCCGAGGTGGCTGTGTAGACCGGCAGGCAGCTGGGCTTCAGCAGGCCCCAGATGCGGATGACAACCATCAGCTCCCGCAGCATGCCCAGGGAGGTGCCGTCCCGCAGGAAGCTGTGCCCTGGCCTCAGCGGGGAGCCCTGTGGTGGGGACACGGAGTGAGCAGCCGCTGTGGGTGGGTGGGTGCCGGTCCCCAGCTAACCTTGGAGCCTGGGTGAGGTCTGGGGCAGTGCGGCCTTCACCGCAGGGCACAGTTGGCGCGGAGAGGACAGAACTGTGCCCTACAGACCAGAGCGGTCAGAACCGACCAGTCCAGTGTCTGCGGTGCTGCCAGGGCCTGGAGGACGCCAACCCAGCCCAGCGGGGCTGTCTTGGCCTCCCACAGAACCCAGGAAGCCGGGCTTGACCTGTGACCCTGAGGCCTGGAGGCCCTGGAGGGCTAGAAGCCTCAGATAGCGTGGGATAGGCGGGGAGGCGGAGTCACCGCTTGGGGGGCCAGGAGCGCGCCCTAGGCAGACAGGAGCCAAGGAGTGCGCCTCGGCAGAAGGCAAGGACGCACCAGCGCCCACCAAGACAGAGGCCGGGGCTGGAAGACCCAGGGAAAGTGAGGGGGCGGG